AGGTGGGGGGGACACACAGGACACAGACACCGTGTTCAGGGTCCCCTGGGAATGGTTGGTTGGGGACACTGCTTTGCTGTGAACGCTCACTCAAGGCCAAAGCTGCAAGGAAGCATGAGGAACAGGTCAGGAGGAACTCAGCAAGCACCAGCTTCGGGCTACAAGGAAACCCAGACCCACTCTGCTGCTCCTGCTGCTCTCCCCACTCCCTTTCCTCAGCCCCTTTTGCCAGTGGGAGCAGAGCTGTGACAAACCAGGGCACTAACTGAGAAGAGCAGCCCGACAAAGCCCTTACCCAATACAAAAAGGATGAATTACGACAGCTCATCTCGCCCAACCACACTTCCTTCCCCCCAGATCTGCAACCAGCAGGAAGCCCCACCAGCTTTCCCAGCTTCACTCCCCCCCCCACCCCAGCCCACCCACTCCCAGCTACACCCAGCACCAGGCTGGGGTCAAACCAGCCCAGAGCTCCTGTGACAAAAACACTCGCCCGGGGAGAGGTCAGCAGGGCTTAGACATTTGCTGCTGGTGCTGCCATCCCCTTTGCTTGCTGCAAAGTGAAACCCAGAGCTCCAGAGCCCCTGAGGCAGCACCAGGGGAACTGCTTCTGTGTCTTCAGGGTGTCACTGTCACCCAGTGTTAGCTGGGAGCCTGCAGAGCAATTAACAAAAGCTTCACATTAATTACGTTTATTTAAAAAAAAGTCTTTGATCTTTTTCTGAACAATTTTTTTTTTAACTTTAGTGCCCAGAAGAGGTTAAGAGAGAGTTGCCAGGGAGCTGATGCCCCTCTGCTCAGGGAAGAGTGTGGTGGGAAGAGTTCCCACAGCCTGCACAAGATCTGAAGGCTGCTGGAAATCCGCCCCCCACCCCCCCCCAACAGCCCCACACTGTACCCCAGCATCAACTTCAGAGCCCAACCCAAAGTCTGAAGGGAGCCACCTCCCTGTCTTCCCCACACCCAGGACCTACTGGTTGCTCCCAAAGGAACCCCTTTCCCCCACTACCAGCTCTGCCTGCTGGGGCCACGGCCTTGGTGGGGCTGTGAGAGGTTAAAAGTGGGGCAAAAAGGGCAGTTTTGGGGGGGTCCCTTTCCCAGCTGTAGCCCAGGGAGGAGATCAGTGGGGCAGGATGCTGTGGCAGAGCTTTGGCCAGGATGAGTGGGGTTGGTTGGGGTTTTCTGGGGGGGGAAAACACGCCCTCTCACAACCTCTGACTTCCTCCTTTCTGCCCCAGCCGACTGTTAAGACAGAAATAGGAAGGAAAGATTGAGGTGCATCACAGAGCTCCCCATGCCCAGTTGCTCTTCCCAGCCGAGCCTGAGAAGCTGAGACAGAAGAGGGGGCTTGATGCAAGGTGAGTACAGCACCTCCATTTTCTTTGCTCCTTCCTGGGGGAGTAGGCAGCCGGGTGACAAGGCACTGTCAGAGCTCTGACTTTGTTTTAATAACTCCTGATCTAACCTCCTGCTGCTGGAGGCCTCAGATGGCTCAGCAGTGTCCCTCGGGTGTGTGGCAGGGCTCAGCACTCAGCCCCTGCAGCCTTTACAGAGGCATTTTGCCTGCTCTTTTGCTTCTGCAGGTAGGATTAAGAGTGGAACTGCAGGTGGTTCCTGCAAGGGAGGATGTCAGACACCACACAACCCCATCCTTGGTGCCCCATGAGGGTGCAGCACGTCCCCCCCATACTGCACCCTCACAGATGGGGCTGGGGAGAGCAGGGTGGGCTGCACACCCTGCTGGGAAGCACCAGGGCTGGGGGGGAAGCTCTGGCTTCCCCTCCCAAGACCCCCCTTCTTCCTGAACCAGCACCCCCAGAATGCGGTGGCCCGAGGGCAAGAGGTGACTGGTGCAGCAGTGGCACCAGGACAGCAGGGATGGCTGCTGGGGTGGCCACCACCAACACACCAGGACAGGGGCTGTCCTGGAGGGCTTGGGAGAGGAGGTGGGAGAGGATGGGTGAGACCCTCAACTGTGAGAAACGCAGGGGAGGCAGCACAGGCTGCAGGGCGAGATAACCCCGTGCAGGGCAGGTCCTTCCCAGCATCTCCCTGGCTCTCAAGAGGCAGACAAATACACAGGGCAGACTCCCAGGGAAAGCAGCCTGGTGGGGAAAGCACCCCCAGTTCCCAGCCCCCCGACGTGGGCAGGACCTGGCGCGTCCCCGCTGTCGCATCCGGCTTCACGCGGTGGTTTTTGCGCGGTTTCTGCCCTCGCCCCGGTGCTGTTTCCATCACAGGCTTTCTCAGCCTGCCAGAGCCTGATGCACTGACTCAGAGGGAGGTACAGGAGCTCTGTCTTGTGCCCCTGCAAACCCAGCAGCCCTAACAGCTTCCCCAAGGGATTGCCCGAGGCGCGATGCCCGCTGGAGATCGGACCCAAGAAATGGCTTCTCCGCTCCTAAAAACCCCAGGCTGGGGAGGTGGGGCAGCCCCTTCCCACCCAAGCAGAGCCCTGACCCAGGGACACCCAACAGCACAAACCCCCAGGCTCCCAGGGCAGGGCGAGGGTCCCACCTGGGCCCCTTGGCACTCAGAACCAAGGGCCAGGTGCTTGGTGCACATGGGAGAGTGCTCATCCCACACACCCATCCCCTGCAGGCCCCAGGGGCTGCTTGAAGGATATACATCCCAATCCTGTGCATATTCCCTGTAATATGACATAGGGACATAGGAATATATATATATATGTGAACACACATTGAGTGTGCTACCCTGGACAAAGAAAGCCTTAGCTGGTGGGCATCCCTGCATACAGCTCTCTGCCTTGATGGGAACTACCTGTATCACACAGCAAAGTGATGGAAGAAGTGGCCCCGAGCCAAGGGACATCCCCTCTGCTGTCCTTGCTGTATCCTGCTCCGTGCACGGGGTGTGGGGAGCACTGAGCAGCAGTGCTGGGTGTCATACACCATGTCACCATGCCACAGCATGATGGTGACACCAGGGACACTTGAGAGTGTGGAGGAAGCACCCAGGGGCACCCAGGAACAAGCACTGACACTGGTGGCACCTCACTCTTGCAGGAGGATGGTGCAAACACCCCGGGAGTCCTCCTGGGCTGCTGGGGTGAGAGCCCATTCTGCAGCACAGCAGATGGGAGAGGGAGCACTGCAGGGCAGTTGTGGCTGACAGACTGCAAGACCCATCTCTGCTGTCTTATTTATAGCAACTAGGTCACCACTAGCACCAGCACTTCCCCTTCGGCCCTGTTTATAAATCCCAACTCTGCTGCACAGCAACCAGCTCCATCCTACCAACACCCACCAGCCTGCCCAGTGCCCTGGGAGGCTGCTGTGCCCCTGCTCTGCTCCCTGCCCTACACACAGGACCCAGCCTTTCCCTTGTGCACCTTCCCCTGGGCTGCCTTCATGTTTTCTGGCTTGCAGGTCCTTCAGGAGCATCTTGCCCTGCCTGAGCCACGCCAGGTATTGAACATCCAGCAAGCAAGAGGTGCTTCGTAGATGGAACACTAAGCTGGACTCAGTGTCTTTTGAAGGTCTCTCTTGTTCTTTTGTCTCCCTTCGAGCTGCTCACTTGGGCAGGTCCCCAGGAGGTGCTGGTGGCCCTTGGTGCCAAGTTGCAGCAGCCCCAGGGTGGTTGTTCCCTCGCTCAGGGCAGTGTCAGAGCTATTTCAACACCGACAACCTGCTTTTTGCATGCTGTGTCAAGTGTTGCTACAAAGGGCCACGTTTGTTGTTCCTCCATGATTTCTTACTGGGTTTTTTTTCTCTTCACAAATTCCTCTTTTCTCACTTCCTGGTGTGTGCAAGGCCTTGACTTGGTTGGGTTTTGCTTCTGGGCTGTGCTGGGGGTGGGGAAGGCGTTACAAGCAATGACAGTGTTAATGAACATGATCTCATTGACACCATGGGAAGAACCTGGAAAATCCCCCCCCCCAAGAGCCATTTAGCAAACTTTCTGGATGGCATATGTTTCTGGGATCAGTAGATGTGCTCTGGGGCAAGAAGTGAGTTGTGTGAGCAGCCAGGACAAGCAGTGTGAGCACGTGTGTGTGAAGAGCAGAGTTTCTGTCATGCTCTGAAATGCTGGGTGTAGCTCAGGACGGTGGGTTTTGGGGTGATGTGCTGGGATCCCTGCACACCAGTAGGAAATGTGCAGCCACCTCCCCGGCTTAGGGAACAGAGCCTCCAGCCACAGCATCACCTCCTGGCCTCCTCCCTGTGTGGGTCTGGCTCCAACACCCCAGTCCTTCCTCCTCACCCTGCAGGTTGTGCAAGAGGCAGCCTGATGGTTGCCACGCTCGGCCTCACCGCGCAGTGTCCTCTGCTTCCTCTGGAGGTGGGACTGCAGCCCTCCTAGGGTTTGGTCACCTGTGCTGTGATGTTGGAGCCCTTTCCTTGTTGGAAGCCCTCAGCAGGACAACTCACATTAATTTCACTCCTTGAAATACTTCACTTCCTTGATGAATTGAGTCAATGTAAAGTGAGCAGTACTAGAACTTTTTTTTCCCATGTATCCACCACAACTTGCTAGATGTAGAAATAGGCCTTGTGTTAATTTTCATTCCAACTTCCATACAAATACAGCTTGACACAGAAGCTGAAAAAAAAACAACCCACATCTAACACAAACTGAACACAGTGCTTAACACCAGTGCACAGAGGTCAGAGAGCCTGGGTGAGCACTGCACCAAGCCTTGCAGCTCTCCAGCCACATGCAGAGTGATACGGGGCAAGTTCCCTCTCTGCTGACTTCCACATTTAGTCCTAAAGTGATCTTTTCTGGAAACCAACTTATTTTTGTCCAAGCAGGCCCATCACCCATCCTGAATCAGCCCACAGAGCTGGGGGGGAGCTGCCCTGGCCCTGGGGCCACTGCAGGGTGACACTCCCAGGCTCTGCCTGCAGTGGGACAGATGTGGGAAGGGCACGTTCCCCTGGGGCCACTTTCACTAGGGTTGGGGGGGGGCTCCCTTCCCTGCAGCTGCTGTGCACCAGGGGGTCAGACCCAGGGATGTGCTTTTTGTCTTGCAGAAAATGTGGCGTGACTGCTGCCTCCAGCTGCTGGCAGCGACCTGGGTGCTGCTGCTGGTGATGAGAGGTGAGCCCAGCCTGCCTTTCCTCGCTGCCTTTCTTTCCCCTGGAGCCCTTCCTGGGCAATGAGTTGGGAGAGGAGCCCAAATGCTGCCCAAGGGTGGTGGGAACGTGGCACTGGGAGGTGTGAAAGGGACAGACCTGGCATTTTCTAGGGCTTGGAGTTAAATTGAGCCAGCCCAGCTGAGGGGCAGCAAGGCAGGTGAGGATCCTGCCACGGCCCCCAGCGTGGGTTTTATAGGCAGGGTGGGCTGAGGACAGCATGGGTAGGTACCCAATGGTCAGTGTCAGAGCACCCCATGGCTGCCACCACTGCAGACCAGCCTCCCCTAGGTGCCCCCCACGCCAACTCTGTCTTCTCTCCCTTTCAGCCTTGGCCATGGAGTGCCCCAAGATCAAGGTGGGGACGTGCAAGGACTGCATCCAGTCCGGGCCTGGCTGTGCCTGGTGCAAGAAGCCGGTAGGGTCCCCGCAGCCCCTCACACCATCAGCCCCAGCAGGCAGCCTACAGGCTGCAGGGTGCTCACCCTGCCCACCTGGCTCTGCCTGTGGGGGAGCAGGGAGGCTGCCTCAAGGGGAGTATTTCATGTCCTACGTGGTGGATGAGGCCAGGAGGGATCTCCCAGGCAAGACCCTTCAGTCTTTCTTTCTCCATCAATAAGCCTGGAGATCTGGTTTGGGAGCTGGGTCGTCTTGTAACCAGCCCGTTCCCCTCCTGCTCCCCTGATTATTTTTTTCTCCTGCTGATGTTGCAACACACAGAATTTCACCAAAGCTGGTGAGCCAGACTTCATCCGCTGCGACACCATCGAGCAGCTGCAGCAGAGGGGCTGCCCACCTGACATGATGGAGTTTCCAACCAACATCATTACGAGGACGCAGGACCGTCCCCTAAGCAACGACGTGCAGCTGAGCCCCCAGGAGGTGCACCTGAAACTGAGGATAGGTGTGGTACCCGGCCTTCCCAGTGCCCTCTGCTCGTGCCCAGGCTGTGCCAGGATGTCACAGCCCATGTTTCCTCCCTTTTCATCCAAAAGAGAAGATCCCGGAGGGGGGGGTGGGGGTGGGCAGTGGGGCAAGATGTGAGCCCCAGCACAGCTGACCCTGGTGTCCCTGTCCCACAGGCCAGCCTGCTGCATTTGAGGTGAAGTTTCGCCGTGCCATGGGGTACCCCATTGACCTCTACTACCTCATGGACCTCTCCTACTCTATGCTGGATGACCTGGAGAACGTGAAGAAGCTGGGAGGGGAGCTGCTCAGGGCGCTGGAGAGCACCACCCCTTCTCGCCGCATAGGTGAGCCTGTCTGGAGCCCCTGGCACAGCTCTTTGCTGCCAGGAAGAGCCACGGGGCTGGAGCAGGATGCAGGCAGAGGGCAGCAGGCCCTGTCTGCCAGGCTGGAGAGCGTGTTGGGGCAAGGGCCATGGACACATGCCCAGGAGCCAGCAGATGGCCCATGACCCGTGCCACAGGGGTGCCTGTCTGTCCCTGCCTGCCCCTGCCACTGTGGTCCTGGATGTCCTAGGGTTTGGCTCCTTCGTGGACAAGACGGTGCTGCCCTTTGTGAACACGCACCCCGAGAAGCTGCAGAACCCCTGCCCCAAGAAGGACAAGAAGTGCCAGCCTCCCTTCGCCTTCAAGCACATCCTCTCGCTGACCGACAACGCCCAGCAGTTCGAGACCGAAGTGGGGAAGCAGTTCATCTCGGGAAACCTGGATGCCCCGGAGGGGGGGCTCGATGCCATGATGCAGGCAGCAGTGTGTGGGGTGAGTGCCCGTGTCTGGCCCTGCTGCCAGCAGCTGTGGGCAGGCGTGAGAACCGCCGCCTGTGGCCACGCACCACCCACTCAGGAGGTGGCTCTGCCCCTCCTCAGGTGGGCTCTGGCAAGCCCACCTCGTGTAAGTCCTGCTTCAGCAGCTGGGCAGGTTTCCTGGGTGGTAAGAGAGAGCATCTTAGCTCAGCCTCCTGACCCTGATCTCCCGTAACCCACCCCCTCTGTGCCCCCTGCCCCACGCTCTGCCAACGCCAGGCTTGCCCTGCTTTGGCAGGGGCAGTTCTGTGCCCACTGCCACCCTCCTCCTGCCCTCACTCAGGGACAAGGTCTCCATGTCACTTGCAGGACTTGATTGGCTGGCGCAACGTGCCCCGCCTGCTGGTGTATGCCACGGATGATGGCTTCCACTTTGCTGGTGATGGCAAACTCGGGGCCATCCTGACCCCCAACGACGGCAAGTGCCACCTGGAAGACAACATGTACAAGAAGAGCAACGAGTTCGTAAGTACCCGGGGGCTGCTCGGTGGCTCTGCACCCTCAGCCTTTGCTCCCCCGGGCAGAAAAGATGCCACGTGAAAAATGTGTTGCTGAGTCCACAAGTTCACCATAATCTCCATCATTTGGCCCGTGAAACCCAAACTGTCCACCCTTCTGCTGGTGGTGGTGGAGGAGATGATGGTGAGCACAGTGTTCCTCTCCCCACCCAGGACTACCCGTCTGTTGGCCAGCTGGTCCAGAAACTCGCTGAAAACAACATTCAGCCCATTTTTGCTGTCACCAGTAAGGTAGTGGATGTTTACAAGGTGAGGAGACTTCAGGTGGCCCAGGTGACACCTGTCCCTCCCCAGGATGACAGAACAGCTGTGTGTGTCCTCCTGCCCCTGCCCTCTGCTCTGCTGCCACACCGAGGAGACCGCTCACCCCTTTGCTCTCCCTTGGCAGAAACTCAGTGAGATGATCCCAAAGTCAGCAGTGGGGGAGTTGAACCAGGACTCCAGCAACATCATTGAGCTCATCCAGGAGGCCTACAATGTAAGTGCTGGGGGAGGCTGTGATTCACCTGTGTCACAGGGCTGGGAGCAGTGGAAGGTTCCCACTGTGTGTCTTCACCATCAGAGAGCAGTCGGGACCAGGGCTTTGAGGACAGGACATGCTGAGTCCCTCTGTTGTGGGACCTCTCCTGCCTTTCCAGAACCACCCCAGGCAGCTGAGGCACTGGCCTGGGGTTCTCCCTTCCCTTACTCCCTGGACTGAGGAGAAGCCCTGACCTGCAACCCCAAATCCCCTTGCTTTGGTCTCCTCTTGGACTGATGATAGCATTTTCTCAACCGTTTCCCCACAGAACCTCTCCTCACGGATCATCCTGGACCACTCCACCCTGCCAGATGTCCTGGATGTCAAATATGACTCCACATGCAGTAATGGCAAGACCCTCTTCAACGAAGCAAAAGGGCAATGTGACGATGTCAAGATCAACAATGAGGTGTGTTCCCCCAGGCCAGAAAAGCCCCCACAGCTCGCAAGGTTCCTGATGCCCATCCCATTTGGCAGCAGGAAGCCAGCCTGTTGCTCCAGGCTTGCTATTCACACTAATTTATTGCAAAATGCTGCACGATGTGGGAATCCTCTCCATCATGCTGGATGTGTGTGTGTGCTCAGCCTGGGGCCAATGCCCCCCTTGACTGCTGAAGCTGCCTGACAGCCTCTGGGCCCTTCCCTTTCTCACTCTGCACTTTGTAGGTCACCTTCAAAGTGAAGGTCACGGCCAAAGTGTGCATCAAAAGCCAGTCCTTCACCATCCGACCGCTGGGCTTCACAGACACCCTCACTGTCCACCTGGAGAGCAACTGCAACTGCAGCTGCAACGAGCAGCCCGACCCAAACGCCTGCAGTGGGCAAGGCAGCATCGTCTGTGGGATCTGCAGGTACCTCCTGTCCCCCCAAAACACTTATTTCAAATGCTTTCAGAGTTGGAGAGCTGCTGGGGGAAGGCCACCTGGTTCCTCCAAGCACCTCTGCACCTGGAGAGCGTGGGGCCAGGTGAGGGCTCAGCAGAGGCATCAGGTGTGACCTGGCTCTGCAGCTTTGCAGCACTTTTGTTGATCAGGTTTACATTTGTGGAGGAAAGAGACACAATGCACTCTCTCTTCTAGTGGTGAAGTCTGCTGCTGTTCTAAGGGCATCCACCCACCCATCTATCCAACTATCCACGTGTCCACCTAACTATCCAACCATCCCCAACCCCACTGATCTACAGATTGCTGTAGAAATCTCAAAATCCCACTTCGGGGCTGTAGTTCCCTCAGGTCCATTTGCAGTTATTGCTTCATGGCCCCACAGTTGACAGGGAGAGGAAAAGACTGGGTTTCCTCAGGAAACACACAAGTCTCTTTGGCAAGGATTGTGGAAATTAAATATAAGAGTAATTTCTGTGCAGTCATTGGGCACTGGAAATATGACCAGTGGGGAGAGCAGCATTTCTGAGGTTTCCTCCTGATCAGACTCCCTGCTCCAGCATGGAGTTGGCAGCACCACGGCATGGTTGGGTTTCAGCAAGGCTGTCCCAGATTTGTTCCACTTTGGCTGAGGTCTGTGTCCCACACGTGCCCCACAGCATTTCTGGTGGCCACTGACCTGGGTTCTCTCCTCTCCTTTGACGGCAGCTGCAACTCAGGCTACACGGGGAAGAACTGCGAGTGCGAAACCAAAGGCAAGAGCAACAAGGAGCTGGAGGGCAGCTGCAGGAAGGACAACAGCTCGGTCACCTGCTCGGGGCTGGGGGACTGTGTGTGTGGGCAGTGCTGCTGCCACACCAGCGACGTGGCCAACAAGCTGATCTACGGCACCTACTGCGAGTGTGACAACATGAACTGCGAGTTCCACAACGGCTTCCCCTGCGGCGGCAAAGGTGATGTGTGTCTGCGTGATGGGTTCTCCTCCTGGGGGCTGTTGAGAAAGATTAAATCCCCAGGCAGGTGCTGCCTTTTCCTAACAAAACCCATGTGGGTGGGTCTGGGGGGGGTTCCTAGGTCCCGCAGTGGAGGGTGGCACGGAGAGCACAGGGCAGGCGACGTTCTCCGAGCAGGGTCAGAGAAGAGAGGGGCTGCGTGGGTAGGATCCTGGCCTGAAAGGTCTTTTCCCCCCCACCCCAGAACGCGGGAGCTGCGACTGTGGGGAGTGCAAGTGCTTGCCCGAGTTCGAGGGCAGTGCCTGCCAGTGCAAGAAGTCGACCGAGGGCTGCCTGAACGAGCGGCGGGCGGG